CAAATAATGATTGCTTCATTAATGAAAGATTCAACAAATAACTCTAACAAGTATTGAAATATCAAAAGGGATGTCAGCAACTATTTAATATTGCAAGCAGTATACGGGAAAATACAATAAAAATTATACGGACCTTGTCGGCTGAATTTAACAACTTTTATCTGGACACACACACACACACACACACACACACACACACACACACACACACACACACACACACACACAGAATTAATGTAAATAAAAGGTTTGTCACTTAGCTGATTGATGTTACCATCAGCATCCGACTCCAGAGTTTCATAGACAGAGTCATCCATCCACTTGTCAGTGTGTATCAGCAACTGACTGATTATAATTCTCGATTTTTTTTATAGCTACTTATAATAGGTACAAGTTTTTTTATACTTACTTATAATAGGTACAAGTTTTTTATACTTACTTATAATAGGTACAAGTTTTTTTTTTTCGTAGTATGTGTGTGTGTGTGTGTGATATATATATATATATATATATATATATATATATATATATATATATATATATATAATATATTATAATAATATTTTTGTTTAAAATATGATTCCTTCGCTACATAAGAGTTCTCATGTTTCAAAAACGAGAGACGAAATATCTAAATAATTATATAAGCGAAATTTTAGGAATAAGCTCTCTGTCGGTTTACGTGTATTTTTAGGCCCGGTCCGTTACAGAATTCGTTATTGTGGGAGTGGCTAGACTATTTTCCTTCGTTAAGTGGTCAGAGAGTTAATTCTTATCAATAGATTCATCATCTTCTAAGAGGTTTTGGTAAGGTTGAGTAGGGTATCTATTTCAAGGCTAATGTTAGCGGTCACCCTTTAGTTAGTTCCCAGTGAGGGATATTTTTATGGCGCGCCTACAATCGTTAAAATAAGCATTTTTATAACCACTATTTTTTAGGGCAGTGTTATAGAAGCCATTGTGTTGTTGGAATATTTCCTTGATAGCGGAGTTAATGCTAATTCTATTTTCTATTGATGAGGGTATATGTTTAATTATGGATGGAGGGTGGTTTGTCTTCGGGTGTATATATAAAGGGTTAGTATTTGGTTTTCTATAAGGTTGGTATGTGTTGCCTGGTAAGTCTAGAGTTACGTCGAGGAAGTTTACCCTTTTCAAATTAGAAGAGAAACTAGGATAGAAATTCTTAGCTCTAATTGATAAACACTTCCCCACTAATAGTAAGCTTAGTAATATATTCAATAAGAACACCCTAAAATTGAGTTACAACTGCTCTGAAAATCTTGAACGTATAATAAAAAAACACAATAATAAGATCTTGAATAGTATTAATAAAAACCCTGCACTTAAATCAGACAATAAAAGGGAAAAATTGTGTAATTGTAGAAACCTAGAAGACTGCCCATTAGAAAATAAATGCTGCATTAAATCTGTGGTATACCAATGTACTATATCATCCACTGAGTGTCCTAGCACTAATATGATATACATTGGGTCCACGAAGAATGATTTTAAAGATAGATGGAGGCAGCATAAGTGTTCTTTCAATAATATAAATAAAAGAAATCAGACTTCCCTATCTAAATATTTTTGGCATCTGAAGGAAACAAATAGGACACCTAAAGTAAAATGGAAAATTATAAACAGGGCTAGAACATGTAAAACTTGGGATGACCCATGCCCTTTGTGCCTCCATGAGAAATTGCACATTATTAAGCTTCTAAATAATAATAATCTATAAAACAATAGACATGAGTTAACGGTTTTTTGTCGACATCATCAGATTCATGGTTTGAATAATTAGCTAAAAACAAGCATACAATATAATAACTTGATTAATCCATAGCCCAATCATCAGATTCATGGTTTGAATAATTAGCTAAGAACAAGCATACAATATAATAACTTTCATAATCCATAGCCCAAATAAATAGTTTAAATACCCTACAAAAAATATAACCCCTTTATGAAGTCAAAAAACAAACGTTACGACAGTTTCTTTTTATATGCAGAAATCCCTTTCATAAAAAAATAAAATAAAAAAAATAAATAAATCTCCATAGACACGCATACCAGACTAGGGTTAATACATCTTCCGTTTCAAATTTAGACACCCCCCCACCTTTCCCTGACTTGACATCTATGAAAGTAACTCTATACTGATACTTATTATTAACACCCGACACACGCCTACCCAATTTAAACAATTCGCCCTAGCTGTTACCATGGAAATTTTGATTTCAATTATTAAAACACGTAAATTTCAGAAATACGTTATTCCAAAAAAAAATTCCCTTGATGATGGAACAGAGCTTACTTTAACTCAATTTTATTCAAATAATTATATTGAAGTTTTCGGCTCTTGTTTTGAAACATGAGACCTCTTATGTCGCGAGTTGGAATCATATTTTTAAATAAATAATTATATTTATGCTCTACTTTTGTATCGAGCACTATTTTTAAAAAAAATAATAACTAAAATACTAAGGAACTTTGGATTATTTACCTAACCAGTTTCTTCCTATTTTCTCTATATTTCCACATATTATATATATATATATATATATATATATATATATATATATATATATATATATATATATATATATATGCGTTCATTGTGTTTTATATATGTACAGGCATAAGACTTGTTGATCATACACGGGCATACTTCTGGAAAGATCTCGATCTGACCTGTAGATATACACATATATATAGTTTATATATATAAACTACATTTATGCAATAAGCAATGGCGTTTTTCTATTGTGTTTAATCTCCTTCAGATTTTATGTCAGGTTTTATTATGCAAGTGAATTTATTCACAATCAAATTCAGGATGTGGTTTATCATGGTTCTCCACAACGTCCTGCTCTTTGTAGCCCTAAGCAACGTTTGACACTTTGCCGAAATTCCCATTCCCTCGTTCAGCTAGACATTTTCATAATTTCATCAGGTGAGTGGTTCCGTGCCTTTCTTTGCCCCTTCGATTTGTCCTGTGAGTGTCAAATTTACCAAGCCCTCATTTCTGATTATATGTGCAAGATGTTTCAGATATCTTTTTCTGATTCTGTGTTTAACCCTGTACCTTGAGTAGCCCCTGTACAGGATAAATCTTACTATAAAAAAATATAAAAAGAAGTGTGTGTGTGTGTGTGTGTGTGTGTGTGTGTGTGTGTGTGAGAGAGAGAGAGAGAGAGAGAGAGAGAGAGAGAGAGGTATATATTTAGTGATAGCACACTCAACGGTTCGCGCAAACCGTTTACTGAAATTACGCAGGTTCGAAAATTTTGTTTACTTTTTTTTTTTAAAATTATTTCGCCCCAAGCAAGGTGATAACCCCATTAAGATGCCAGCGGCTACTGTGGGTGAAAGAGAATGAAATTTTTTTTAGAAGGAACCGGAAACACAATTCTAAAAGTACATTCGGAAAGATTTAAAATCGTCGGCAGAGTAATGTCAATTTTAATGCTAATAAAATCTGACATACAGTCGTCCCTCGCCACTTCGCGCTTCAACTTTCACGTCTTCACTCTATCGCGGTTTTTTTTTCGGTTCCGAAATGCACTTGATGGAGCGATGGTTACCCTACAGAAGCCTCACCACGCAGATGAAAAGACAGCGCCAGCAACTGCTTATTACAATGCTTTCCAGCCGCGCAATCAGATACCCACCGCCTAGGACTAGTATGTCTTCAGCAGAAGAACACGACGCACCACTTGAAGACTCTTCTACTAAAGTCGTGCTTTAACCTTTGTTGTGCAGTACATCTCTTCATCGATTCATCATCGAACAATTATTTTCCGAGGTTTACACTAACCTAGGAAAATAATGCAACTTGTTGGATTATGAAGCGATGTTCACGTAAGAACTTTGTGCGTGATTTTAAAGTACAATAATAATAATATATTTGTAAGTTTTAATATGTCTTAGTTTCTCTTATTTTGCCAAATATATTGTGTAATATAAGTATAAAGGTAGATACAGGGGTGTTATTTTATGCCTAGAGAGCTCTTATAATGTCATATAATGTTTTTATTCTCTAACTACGAAAATATTTGATTTATAAATAAAGAATCAGACTTTGCGGAAATTCACTTATCGCGGTCGGGTCTCTAACTGATTAACGAGGAACGTCTGTAATATATATCCATAAATATATACAATTTGTTCTCGACAGACAATCCATGCAGAAATATTGAGAGTAGCAGCAAATTTCGAAATGTCGAATTTTATAAACCAGTTTTTTGAATGTCTATTTTTATAACGGGAACAGAATCTTTATTAAGAGGACTGATGGAATACAATCTTCCATTGAAAAGAAGTTAATAACTACAGATACACATAAACGTCATGCAATCTGTTGAATTCTTGAAATAGAAACGTACCTTTCATCGATTACAGACATTGAAAGAAAACAGACATGTCTGCACACTTGTTGAAAATGGCCGCGGATTATTTCAAATTCGTTTTCTTTTTTACGCATGGTTAATTTCTAATTTCTCTTTTAGATTTAATAATCTTAAATTATTTAATAATCCAAAATTTCAAAACAGGATAAACGGCGTTTTGAAATGATGAATTTGTAATTATTAAAAGAAGCAGTTAAATTGCCGGAATGGAAAAAAAGATATTAAAAAGAATTTGAAAACATTATTAGTAAATGAGGTGACATCGTCAGAAGGCCTTTTCGATGTTTTTTGCAACAATTTTTTTTTCATTTCATTATCGAGTTCATTAAAAAGAAGCAAGCAGACAATATAATATTAGTTACGAGTTAAATTATTTTAGGAGTAGTTGAATGATAGACTGAGTATTTAGTTGGAGGGTAATTTTTAAAGAAAAAAAAACAAACTATCAGTTAATGGAGACGACAGAAAAGAATGATATATATATATATATATATATATATATATATATATATATATATATATATATATATATATATGTGTGTGTGTGTACACGTAGATATGTAAATAGATAAGTAAGAACAGACATACAGACAGATAGATACGAACAGATAGATAGATAGATAGATAGGTACGAAGCGACAGACAGCTAGATACGAAAAGAATGAGATAGATACGAAGTAACAGAAAAATAGATAGATAGATAGATAGATAGATAGATACGAACAGACTGAGATAAGCAGACAAATGGATAGACATCCGACAGGTAGATAGATAGATATATAGATTTGAACAGACTGAGATAGATAGATGTGAACAGACTGACATAGATAGATAGATAGATAGATAGAGAGAGAGAGAGAGAGAGAGAGAGAGAGAGAGAGAGAGAGAGACAGGCAGAGAGAGAGACAGACAGATAAATAGATAGATATAAACAGAATGAGATAGATAAGAACAGACAGACGGTCAAACAAATAGATAGATAGATAGATAGAACGAAAATGATTAAAAATGATTAAATTATGAACTGGAAATGAAAAAAAAAACCCAGGAAATCGTAAAAGGATATTTGGAAAAAGTTATTTACTCATCTTAGCTTGGCAGAAGAGGGGCGGTGGATAGTAAAACAAACAAACAAAAAAAAAATTGGTAACAGCAACAATGGATAGGAAGTTGTGGAGAGCTATGATCGCACACGTCTTGAAAGGAAAGCACATAAAAGAAGATTGAAATGCAGGTAACATAACGGTTATCGGCGCGGAAAGAGGAATCAGCGACTCGATTGTAAATTTTTATCGAATCTATCACGTGCACATCTTCACTTCGAAAAGTATTAACTCCAGGTACTTCCAAAAATTCGCTAAAAACGTGCATACTCTGATGAAAGATGCTCCAAACTTGATAAAAACAAAGTTTATCGTCAAAATGTTTACGCTATTATTAAGAGGAAAGACCAAAGCATTTTTTGGTTATTTTATTAAATTTTTGGAATTCTTTCTAGCACGTTCGAAATTTCGTTTAAAAATCTTGTTTTTCTTGTATCCGTGGGTGGGCCAAAGATTAGTATGGGAAATTTAGCGTCTTTTTGTGGTGAAAAACACGTTGTTTTGGAAATTCTTGCAAAAATCAAATAATTGTTAGATTTTAAAGATATTTTCAGGAATTATTCACGAATGAATTAAATTATTTTGTATTTTTTTAGAAAAATATTGGTAAAAATAATTTTTTTACATCTGTTATTCACACTTACTTAATTTTATGAAGTTTCGAGAAATTAAAATTCCACTCTCTTCATATATATATTAATTAAAGGCAGGATTCTTGGGAAATTTAAATAATCAATTTGTTTTTGGCAAACAGAACACCATTTACCGAAAATCTGCTCTGAATCGTAAAATAAAATATTCAATAAATCTATGACAGTATTTAATTAGAAAAGCTTTTATGAATAAGATATATTAAGGACACTATCATTTTAAGAAATTTTTTTTGATGAATAATGAATTTTACAAAAATTGTTTTCTATTTTTAGAAAAATTAATTAGAATAATTTATTGTGTTTTAAATCTTTTAAAATTATGTATTTATTTCACCGTTTTAGATGATATTATTATTATTATTATTATTATTATTATTATTATTATTAAGTAAAAACTATATTTACTAATCATGAATGGAAAAGCTTAGTATAAAACATTATACACCAATATTTTTAAAAGAATTTTGAATTTTTTGCATGTATATAATCTTGAAATATGGATGCATATACATGACATTATCAGAAAATAAGAGCGATGACTGGTGTGATTTAAAGTCAAAGTTTCTAAAATTCAGTAAAGCATTAGATTACGGAGAATATTTTCGTAGTTTTAAAAAATTACTGGGTATTAAAACATTACATAAAAAAGGCACTCATATCATTTTCTTCAATTATGTTTTAAAGATAAAGTCCCCATAGAAGTACATTAGATCTGTCATAGCGCTGTCACCACGTCCACACCTTAAATACATAGCTACTGTCAGGTAAAAAAAAAAATGAATTTCTGCGATATTTTAAACTTAAAGTAAATAATATTTGTCTTCAATCAAATCAATTATACTTCAAATCAGTTATTATTTCCCAACTAAAGTTTCAGAAAAGTATATTTTATCTTTCGAAGATTTTTAACAAAGAGAATTACTATGAAAAACGACTGAAAAGGGTGCTATCAGCTATTTTAGCAAAAAAAAAAACTAAAAAAAAAACTACTTCTAGTTAATTTATATTAGTTTTGAAATACAACAAATACAGTGGGAATCTGTTCTATAAAGTGGCAGTTCTTAGAAAGAAACCGAGTATAATTTCCTTCTTATATTTGAAACATGGAGGAAATGGGTATAATTCGAGCCCATAGAAGTGGCGTAAACTGCCTTATTTGTAATTTTCACGTGTAAAAACGAATCAATAATTTTCTGTTACGTGTTTGTATTATGAAATGTCATTTGATGTTTGTAAATGCTGTGAGTTTTAAGGCACAAGACGATTATTTAAGACTCCTTAGAAATAAATCTATCAAGACAGGTTGTTCTGAAATCTTTGAATCTTGTCTAGATTAGCGAAGCCACTCAAGGCAGGGTTTGCTTTTCTTTACAAGAAAGTGACTGGGTTCGTTATTCTTTACACAAGAATAATCGGGTTTGCTGTTTTGAACATAAATATTTTGGTACAAGCAACTTTAAGTTTCAATAGCTCTTTTTCTATACTGGTTTTAATTTTTTAAGTCAGGTATCCGGAACACTGTAGATGGATAGATCTACGTTCACGGAGGTTGTGAAGCTATTACTTGGAGGGTTGTCATGTGAATGACTGGATGAAGAACAAATCATTTATTTGAATGAAAATCTGAATCATATAATACATTTACGAATTGGACATAACTGGATGGATATGTGTGGAAGTGCTACAAGGTTTTTAAATCAGTCCCATCTACTGTTGAAACTAAGGAAAGGAGCTCATTTTACCTTAGTTGACTATTGGGAAGTATTGCATGGCAGAAGGTGCCAGATACTTCCTGGAAGAAATAGAATTAACTGACTTGATGGAGAAGAGGATAAAGAGTCAAAACCATGCCAACCACAATTTAAAATCTTTTTTTACTGCATCTCGCATCACCACTCATAGTCGAAGAGTTTGAACATTAGCTTTTCGGTGAATCTTCGAAGTTCACTATGGTGGATTTTTCAAGGGGTGACTTTTTAAAAAGTTATCCGCTTGGGAAGGAGACCCCAACAACAACCCTTACAACCATTGTGGATGTATTTGCCCGTACCGCATTGGACAGATCGGCCCTCAGTGAGGCTGCAGCAGACGTGGACAGCCACCTTATTTTATCTTCGTTCGCGAAGTCAAATGAAGAAGAATGATCGAATCATTTTTTCCAGCATCATTATCAATGGATTTCTTTATATGAGTTACACTTGAAATTTCGAGTGATCTTCAGGTCTCACATCATGAAGCCTTGTTGAGAGCTGAACCATTTATCATGACTAGAGAAAGCACAGTGGTAAGGACAAAACTATACTTCATGAGTTCAAGCGCCCTACGAGGTTGGCATCCCGCTCTCACCCTTTCACTGTCGAAACCCCTAAATGTAGCCATCTCTTCTACTCCTAATAACTTCATGTCTCGCACCTCTCGCCTGTGGAACTCCCTTTCCTATTCCAGTTTCCCTGAGAGCTATAATCTCCAGCTATTCAAATGTAATGTCAATCGACATCTCCAGTTGCCTTGATCTATCCACTATCCTTCTCCTTATCCTTTCTTCTATCACTCCTATCTGATCTTGCTCCAAATTTTCTGTAACCCCTTGCGTCCTAGTGGCTTCTCGCCTTGCTAGGGGTGAAACGCTTAAAAAAAAAAGAAGCTTTTGATACATTGATGCTGTTCAGTTATTTCCATATTGAGCTGTTAGAGCCCGGTCAGAGGAGATATATATTATGTAATGTCGTTCTTTTTTCTTTCTTCTTTTAGAATTTTTATAGTAAGTGCTTCGAGAATTTGGAATCTCTGTTTGCTTTACTGGGAGGTGGCCACTCCCGGTGTCAAATTAAATTTCACTCTCCACTTGTTATTTTTGGAAAATTTCCAGCTTCCAGTAGATTATCAGAGCCCACTAGCTCATTTATCTTTTTTTTTTTTTTAATTTTTTTATGGACATTTATACTGTAACAATGACAAAAACTTCATAAAAATATTCTCGATTTAGTTGAAGTATTTTACTAAAACGTGGACATTTATTTTTATTTCTTCAAAGTCTTGTTAGAGTTTGAAAGACTTATTTTTACTCTAAAGCCATTTAATGATCCTGTTCAGTTTATTAGACGTTTTTATTTTCCCAAACTTCCTTTTATTAACCTTTCCCCTTTATAAAATGTTTATTAAAACCCACCCCTTTACTTGTCATTTGAAAGTAAAGGGAAAAGAAAATAAATGAGGGCGATTGTGGTAAATACCAAAATTTGACTTAAGATCTCTTGGAAGCATTTTAGATCATTCTCTGAAATAAAACTGAAACTGAAAACTGAAATATAGGTGTCGTTTGTCTGAAGAATGTGAGATGGTAGATTCAAAACTGATATTGTACTGCCATTACTCGAAGCATTTTACACCATTTTGAAAATCACGAATACTATTGATAACGCCCTAACATGAATTTTCAAAATTTCCTCTTGGATGTTTTTTTTTATGAATTATTGAAAATATTTAAAACACCGTTTTCTCGACTAAAGGGCATCTATTTTTTAATGTATTTTTTTTTTAAATTTGAGTTCATTGAGAATTTTGAGACTTAGCAATAAATGTTGAATAAAATGCGAATATTATTGACTGATCACATATAGGTAGGAATATTATATAGACGCACCTTAATTATAAACATGACGAAGGACACATGGCACAGTGGATAAAGGCGTTAGTTAGATACAGTGACAAGACACAAAGAGTGTGAGTTCAATACCTGGTTAAGGCGTTGGAGAACTTTGAGAGGGGAATTAACAGGAGATAACTGACATCCATTAGACATGGCACGTAGAACTAGAACAGTCTACCCCAGTGAGCGAAATAAAGTGTTCAGTTCGACATTCCAACCACCTGAAGAAGGCCGGAGCGTACAACGGCCGAAACGTTGTGATAAACATGGCGAAAAAGATGAAGACAATAGTCCGAATAATGTAAATAGTGAACATAATACCTCATTTCAGAAATATAGACAGATAATGATAAAGTAGCTTCAAAAACAAATCTAGTGTCACTGACAAAACTAACCTGGCCGTGCGTCTAGAAAAGGACCTGCAATCGGTTGTGAACTGGGGCAGGAATTGGCTGGTCAACTTCAACGCTTCTAAGACAAAACTGCTCTCTATTAATCACCACAGAGATCCTTCCCTGCCCTCCATTAGAATGTCTGACGCTCAACTTCTCGAGAGCACCTCTCTGCGGCTGCTCGGTCTCACGTTGACTGCTGACCTGAGATGGAACAAATACATTGAGTCAATTGCTTCGTCCACCGCAAGGAAAGTTGGCTCCCTGTGCCGCACCAGAAAATTTTTCTCCCCGGAATCGATCCTCCAGGTCTACAAATCAATAATTCGCCCTTGCATGGAGTATTGCTGTCATATAGGGTCTGGAGGTCCTTCTGTTTGCCTCGAGGTTCTTGATAGGCTCCAGAGGCGGATATGCAATATAATTGGCCCTGCTCTGGCATCTCGTCTACAGTCACTTTCTCACATTCGCGCCGTCGCCTCCCTCTGTCTGTTTTACAAATAATTTCATGGCAATTGCTCCGAGGAGCTGCATTCCTTGGTTCCCAGACTTCATGAGTTCAAGCGCCCTACGAGGCTGGCATCCCGCTCTCACCCTTTCACTGTCAAAACTCCTAAATGTAGCCGTCTCTTCTACTCCAATAGCTTCATGTCTCGCACCTCTCGCATGTGGAACTCCCTTCCCTATTCCAGTTTCCCTGAGAGTTATAATCTCCAGCTATTCAAATGTAATGTCAATCGACATCTCCAGTTGCCTTGATCTATCCACTGCCCTTCTCCTCATCCTTTCTTCTATCACTCCTATCTGATCTTGCTCCAAATTTTCTGTTACCCCTTGCGTACTAGTGGCTTCTCGCCTTGCTTGGGGTGAAACGCTTAAAAAAAATTAAGAATATTGGGGCATGTCTTCCGTCGAGTATAACGATTGCATTTTAAGAAAACAAGAGACACTACACAATGAAGTAACATAGTATTCTTTCTTTGTAGTACTTAATAATAAATATAATTATAATTTTATTTAATGAATTTATAACTAATTGCATTATTATTTACACTTTTTATTACTATCATACAGATTGTTTTTATTACTGTGATACTTTTCTACTTCTAGTTCCAGATTTTTATATTTATTGATTCTTTGATATTCTTTAAAAAGTTTTCTCCTTTTTGTTACTAAAATATTAAGGTACACATAAGATCAGAAGACCTGGAAGCCATGTTTGGTGTCGCACCAAAGAATTTAATATCAATATTATCATATTATAATTCGGTTTGTTCCCTTGCTCCTTAGTTAAGTTACCCCACTGCCCAAACCTTATGAATAATGTACTATTCCTTTTTGATCACAAGGAAAAACGGAAAATACATTAGAGACGCTGTTTGATTTTAGTGGGGGAAAAAAAAAAAAAAAACGAAAGAAAGAGAGATAAATAGAAGTTAGAGGTGGTGATAACGCTCTCCTGTGTCTGCTTCAGTGAGATAAGAAACTTGTCAATTTGTAATCTTTAAATGGCGACTCGCTTTCATACTTATGATTGCTATTGCAATATTTGGTTAAAGTTGTTAAGTTCAAATATTTAACGATGAAATGCGGGAATTTTCATGTCTGTTTTGTAGTAGTGGAATTAGAAATGAGCTTAGATATTTGTTGTGTAGAAAGACAACTGACCTTAGCTAAAATGATGACCATGGACTCTTCCACTGACAATGAAATTAGTAGCAAGCTGGACACAAGGGAGTCACACATTAATCGCAAACAGTGTCACATTAACTACGATATTCGCTGGTATTTTAATATTAATCCACGTGATTAAACGGTATTTTCACTAATCTTGGGTTCCAGTGTTTTCCTTTGGAATATTATTAACCCGAACTACAAGTTGATACGAGTATTATAACAGTTGTAATGACAAAAGTACACAGGCGTAGGCTTTAAGAAAGCTTTATTCAACTGAGAAGACAAGGTTCGCGTATAGTGACCTTTTATAGTCCCAGTAAATAGAAATAACTCTCCCAAAGAGGAGAGTAACAAAGCAAGGGTAGACCACTCTTGATTATTCATAACAACAGTATACATTAAATATTATGATACATTTAGAAAATTAAAATTGAAAAACATGACATTTTTTACGGGTACTACTATTTATTTATTTATTATTATTATTATTATTATTATGACATTACTAGTGCTACTATTGCTACAAACACATTAGCTTGATTAATAATGTGGGTTGCACAACGGAAGAATTAAACAAAAGATTTAATAGCCACAAATATGATGCTAGACACAACAATATGACTTTAACGATGCTTGTCGTACATTTTATTACAAACGTCTGTAATTTCGGTTAATATTAAGGTTCATATTCTGAAAAAAAGTCCACCGACCTTGCGACCCTTAAAAGGATAGTTACATATATAAACAATTAACGTCCTATCCAGGGGGAATGCACAGAATCACAGGAGAGTTCCATAGGATTTATACTAAACTAGTCAACTAACGGAAAATTTCAAGGAGCACAAACGCTATCATGTTATTTTTTGTTTTTTAATCATTCACCCCAAGC